ATTCTCTATCACAGCAAAGCTGTCTGACATGGCATAGCACACACGAGATACATTAGAAACCTGGCGAGCTTTGACTTCACATACACAAAAGCTACATGAATCTCTGTAAAAGGGAACTCCCTTTATGGAAATGAGTTCAATTGCCATATTTCTTTCTTCTTTTTGTGGTACTGGGGATTGAACTCGGGACCTTTACACTGAGCTACATCCCAGCTCTTTTAAAATTAATTTTTGTTTTTCACAATGGAGTTTCACTAAGTTGCCTAGGCTGGGTTAGAATTTGCAATCCTCCTGCCTCAGCCTCCCAGAGTAGTGGGATTACAGGTGTGCACCACCATGCTGAGTTTCAGTTGGCATTTTTGAATGGTGCATTGTGTTAAATCATAGCTGTGTACTAGATAGTGTTTGAAATATTTTGTAATTCAGGTCGCTCATGGAGAATTGAAGGGTTATGCAGAGGGTTACATGAAAAGCAAGTGGTGGACACATGAAATGCATGGAGAACAGTGCCTGGAGTTGTTGGCCAACGACGAGAATCCACTGTCTTCTTCCCAAAACTTCATTCCCTGTTGTACAGAACAGAACATTAGGCTGTGGGTGACAATAGGGCCTTGAAGTTCAACCCTTGCTATTCATAGGTGCAGAACCCCAAGTCCCACAGTAGTGACCTGTCAGTGATCTCACAGAGACAAAACTATGACAGGAAATCGAGAGGAATACTAAGGAATATTCCTTCCTGCTGGGAACGCTGCTGTCTCTTGATCACAAGACTGTCAAAAGGTCAGGAACCCCAGCTGGTGACATTCTTCTCCACGCAGCATGGTTCTCAAGCCCTGCTTTCAGAGCACCGTGCTAGGCACGGGATCAGTAGCACATCATGTAGAATGTGTGTGTGCCATGTGGCCTGCACTCCAGAATTAACAGGTGTTTAATTTATTAATGGGAAGTGTTTGACTGAAAGGTAAGATTTGCTTGTGTTTTCTCAGATAGCCTTTTTGATTGGAAGTGGGATATGCTTACAAATATTTCCTCTACTGTCCATGAATTTCAAATTTTGGGAAAGCTCACTGTGTTGATTCTGTGTTGTCCATGAGATGGAGAAAATCCGTCTGTGTACTAGAAGCAAACACAATCTCCAAATTCTACCTGAGCAGTTATAAGAAGAATGCCTTGTGAGAATATAATACCTTTACATTTTTTTTTAAAGTTTGCTCATTGTTAGTGTCATTTTACTTTTAAGTGGTTCTAAAACATAGGTGAGTTATTTCCCCCATTCTGCAGATGGAGAAACAGACTCAGGGGTTGCGTGCCAAGACCAGGCCAGCTCACCACTGCACTTGCTTTCTTCTAACTTTGATGTTGTACCAGAAGATCAGGATTTCTGACTTCCTTGATTAGCAAGACCCCTTATTCTAAACCCTGCATATAAAAAGAGCAAAGATAGAGGAACCTTCCCACCTATACTGTCCAAATGGGTAGGGCTGGCATGGGCATCGTTCAGAGAACTCACCACAAGCACACCCTTTGACACTAGGCTGCACACAGTCTCAGCTGTGACCGCTGTGCATAATGGTATGTGGCATTTGAGATGTTAAATTTCCTCTACAATCATCAACATCAAGGAATGGGTCATACGGCATGTCAATACTGGTAATATTATTTCATTCCAAGCCTCTGAAGATTATTCATTCACAATAAAATGAGGCAGTTTAGAAACTGAACTATGTGATTAAGCAGCGTGTCCTATTCTCCACCTCCAACAAGTGACAAAAACTTGCAGGCTGTGGCAGGGGGCGGGAGCTTTAGGAGTTCAAAGTCATGAGCCATCAGGTTTGCTGGTCCCAGCCCTACCTGAGAGAAGTCCTATGGTGGGGGATTGAAGTGGCTTTGGGGAGAGGACTGTTTATAAATTCATGATCTGCTTTTTACTAGCGTTGAGATGCCAGCTACACCTTAGTTTTCTCATTTGGAAAAAAAAACAACAGTGCATTGATTGGTGCTTGATAAATATTTTTTTCCTTCATTCTCTAGGACTTACTAAGTTTGAGATCTTGGAAAAGCCATTTAATCTCTTTGAGTCTTAATTTTGTAATGTGTGTAACACCTTCTCTACGTGGAATCCTTTAAAAGAAGCCTTCCGCCAAAATCCCACCCCTTGACTTGTTATCTTCTACACATTCACACAGACTGCTTGGTTTCACCTATCACCTGTCCTCTGATGAGTTCCAAATCTAGGCCACCAGCCCAGGCTTCTCTGCTGAGGTCTAGACCTTTATTCCTGGCCCTTTCCTAAATATCTCCCAACATCTTGTGGGCTCCTTGAACTCAAATTGGCAATACCTAAGCTCCTCCAATGTGCCTTAGTGTCAGCCACTGCCTTCCTTCTTTAATACATGCCTAGAAATCATCCAGGATTGGCTTTCTCTTTCCTACTTTATTAACCCATGGTCAGCAATTCTTGATGCTTTTCAAATTCATCTCTGCCCTTGTGGCTGCCATGTTTCTCACATGTATTCTTGTAATGGCCTCCTGTCTGTTCTCCTTCATAGACTTACTCTTTCCTCATTCCCAGTGTACACATCAATCCCTTATTCACACTTTTCAGTACAGTACTCTTTCTAAATGAGAGAGCTAACCATTTCCTTCTTCCCGAAAGCCCTTCAATGCTTCTCCATTACTTTCAGAACAAAATCCAAGCTAACATGATGCACAACGCCTGTCACAGAGTCTTATACCTTGTGGTTCATCCTTGTCTGACCCACCTGCTCCCCTTCACAAAGGTTGCACTGCTTAACATGGTCCTAAGGACCTCTCCCTCCACTTCTGCTCTGGAGCTTTGTATGTAGGAAACCATCATCTGCCAGGACTCATTTTCTTCCATTTGTTGCTTGGCTCATTCCTGTTCACCTTTTAAAATTCCTTAGGCATCAGCTCCCCCAGGAACCCTTCTTGTCCCTTGGGCCCTGAGTTAGGTGCTCATCCTGAGTGGCCCCAAGGCACCCACTGCTTGTCTGTATCACATTAATGAAGCCATTTCACACAGAGACTTTTATTCCATGTCTTGAACATCTGGCCCAGGGCTCAGAGCCCTGAATGAGTGATGCATCTTGCATTGTGTATACATGATGGTGTGAGGTAATAAAGCATGCTAGAGTGCTTTGTAAGTTATCTGAGTTTGTTATTTCTATGCATATAAAAGCTCGTATGCTTTATGTACACGTGTGTGTGTGTGTGTACAGCCCCTGCCAAACACTGCATTTTCTTGTTACTAATTTGTATATGAAGGCACTCAATTGTATGTTCTAATTGGAAAAAATAGCTCTGGGGTTAATAGGTAGACAATAGTATCTGTTGCGTACCTATGTTAATTACTAAGGATTTATAAAAGTGAATTAGAAATCTTCAGGTTCATAATTTACTGGAAACTAGGGATAGAATCTCATCCTAAACTTCAACAGCAAACATAAGCTCCCACCCCAAACCCCAAACAGCTCAGACTTTCCTTTAAGTGAACTTTGTTCATAGGAGAAGAACTAGCATGTTGCTCTCCGACCTCCAAAAATTCTTGCAAAATTTATACAAATTAATTCATGTTGATCCCTGCAAAAAAATGGTTTTTAAAATTAATTCCTTACAAGAAATTCATTTCTTGTCTCCTTTTCGTGTCAAAAGGCTTTTGGGGGACAGGTTATGGCAATCTGTAGACTGTGGTCCTCGCCAAACCCTGAGGAAAAGAGGTGTAAAGGAGAACCCCTTTTCCCCACCTTTGTGCCTTTTAAAAGACTATGTAGGATCTCCCACCCCAGCCCGTGCACAGCAAAAGGCCATGCATGGCACCCCCAGCCCTCCTGCTCCTGCTCCTGCTCCTGCTCGGCTGAGGACCCATCTCTGAAGCCGTGTGTGCAACAGGAAAGGCTGGGGCTGCATCAGTGAGCAGGGAAGCACAGATAAAAATCTCCATCTTCAGAGAGAGCCTGAATGCTGTGCAGGAACGAGAGGCCTGAGCACTAATATATTCAAGAAGACCTAAGGGTTTACTTTCCAATAAGGACGGAAAAGGTCTGAGCACCCCACTGTGAGCTTATCGTAATGTTGTTTCATATAAAAAGTTGGTAATTAGTCCCTGAGTGAATAAAGTAGAATAGATGATAAGAGACTGATACTTAGAGGGAAAGCACAAAATGCTCTTGCCAGTCGTCAGAATTTAAAGGCGGTAGAGAAAGGATGGGTGATGCCGCTGTCTGTTTACATACAATTTCCAGCCTAGAATTTGTAATACTAGAACTCATTAACTAGTTTTTCCAATTGTGTTAAAATGATGCCAACCTGCTTTTCAAAGGAGTGCGTGGATCTCTTGACAAATACAAGAGAGCTTTCAAATATAACAACTGCCTATCATTCCTTACTTAGCGTAGACCTTGCTTTGGAGGAAAGCCATTCCGGGAAAAATGGTGAAGACTTTAAATTTCTATTTAAATTGCTTTCATCTTCAAATGTTCATGACAGAGTTTCAATTTACATAAAAATTAATTCCTGGCATGTTATGAGAATATGCTCAGATTTCTAGACTCTTCCTCAAAAGGAAACAAATGTAAACCACCTAAAAGAAAATCCCTAGTCTTTGAAGAGGCTGTCACCTGCATTTAGCGCTTCTCCATTCCTCTCAGGGCCTTCTGAGCTCTGTCTGTGAACTAGTATTTAGGCTGTGAAACCAAGGTTTTTGGTGAGACCCAGAGATTCAAGCGACTTGGTGTCCCAGGGACAAATTCCAGTCCCGACAAGAATACAGACATCCTTCCCCAAGCAGTACACACCAGGGAAGCATCCTCATCTGCAAAACATGTGAGTTGAGACTCCATTATTTGGATCACAGCCAGATTTGCTCTAGGATTCTTTAACTCTACAGCATCTTTAAAGAAAATACCTTTAAAATCTTTTATTTCAGGAAGACATCTATTGTACATATTATTTGTTTGAAAATCATTTTCTATTTAGAAAAAGAAAGATTGGCTTATAAGAATTGAAAAGAACATTTCACAATGAAGGGTATATTGATCTTTGGACAAACACCAGCAATAAGGAGTCGACAGTAATGGTGTATTTCTTGGGATGCCTTTACCAATGCATAGAGCTAACTCCCACGGAATTCACTGTCACAGTAGAGAAGTAGACAAGAGAGCAATGACCCAGCAACTACTTGCCACCAGATGCATCTATCAACCAAAAGTTCCTCCTCTTCTATGTTGCTTTCCCTGTCTCCTCCTCTTTTCCTTTTTTATCCTTGTAGCTTAAATATCAGGATCCTTGTCAGCTGTATAGGCACAGAAACAAAATAGACACCCAACAAGTAAATATTTGGGGGGAGCAGTTAGCAACAAAAGCTTTGTTCTATTTAGTGATAAACTCATGCAATAATTAATTTAATTGAGTGAATTCAGCTCTGATGATCTTTAAAGGGAAACATGATATTTCGCCCAAGTATGAGAAACCTGCATATTTTCCTGTCAACAGGAATATTGTGTGTGTTTTTAAACTTTTGGGAGAAAGGTGCTGGTGTGGGTCATACTCAAATTATCCACAAATGTTAATCAGAGACTTTAATGATTATTCTAAAATAAATAGTATGTGAATAAGACAGAACTTAATGGTTTATCTAGCCATCGTTTTATGCTTATTGGTAGGGTTCTTAATAAAGTGCCATAACATCTCAGAGTGTTAAATTTGGTTCTCAAAGAATATATTTATCCTAAAAAAGGCTCAAAAACAACTTTCTTAAAAAGCTACTCTTCATTGACTCTACACTTTTTACTGTCCGAATTCCTACATCCTCCTATTAATCTCTATGACTATTGTTAGTTTTTCTTCTTGTGAAACCCTTTCACTGTAGTATAAAATAATACTTTCAAATTTTTTATAGTTATGTTTAAATCAATGCAACAGCACTCACATAGGTTTTTCTTTTGTACTGAGGTACAACATATTGAACATATGAATGTTTATATCTTATAATTTTGAAACAAGTGTAACTGTAGACCCACATCCATATTTATAAAAACTTTTTTTTGAGACAGTCTTGTGATGTAGTTCAGGGGCTGACCTCAAACTCATGGTGATCCTCCTGTCTCAGCCTCCTAGGTGCTGGGATTATAGGCATGCACCACCACACCCGGCCTCATATTTATAATTTTTTTAAGTAATTTAAAACCATTTTTAAGTATTTCATATGTAGGAGATGGAAAATGCTTTCTTAAATACAAAGTGCTACATATAGAAAATGTCAAATGGACATGACTTGGCTGCCAATTCAACTGCCACAAGAAGATGGAGAGTTCATAGTAGTATAGCATTTGTCTGTGGAAGTCATTAATAAGTAATCAGATATTTCTGTGTCTCGCATCTCACTTTGAGATAGATGTGATATCCAACTCTCACACTCCATATCTATTTCCCTATAAATTTGTTGTTCTGAATTTGGGTCAGTGATTTGGGGGTAGAAAGAAGAAGAATATTTAATGCAATGTGTGGCCCAAATGCAAACACTGAGATCATCTTGAACACATTTCACCAACAAATGTAAGACAAACTTATTGCAGATCCATTTGGATACACACATCCAGTTCAACAGTATAAGGTGCCCGAAATATTGCATATGAGTTACAATGGTAGCCATTAACTTTATTTAATGCATGTAACCTTTCACTGGTAGTATTATGTTGTTTTCAGAATCTTTCTTATTTATTTTTGCCCAATTAGAAAATAAAACGTGGGGCCATCTGCATCTGTTTGCTTTCGTCCAGAGGTTTATATAAACATGTACACACATCTGTGCATTTTTCCCAGAGGCTTCTATGTACATGTTGTATCAAAGTGCACAGTTACCATAAATAAACTCCAGAGAGAAATTCCAACAGCTCATTTTTTCTTGCCCATTGTCTGTGTGTGCATTTGTATGTCAGTCTGTCTTTTTGATTCTGTGTTTCTCTCTTATTCATAATTTATGATCACCTCTGGGGCAGATGTCTTAAAACAATTGGATGATCACCAGGAGTTAGGCAGAAAGAATTGCCTGCTTTCTGCTTCTCCTTATAAGTAACTCAGGACCAGAAGAAAAAAGAAAAAAAAAATCAGATTTTAGAAAGCATATTCAGGTTAAAGGGCACCAACCATCCTGGCTTGTATTCTGCCTAAAGGACAAGGCTTTCATTTGGTAAAGATCATTAGTCACCAAGATATATATTTTAGAGAGTTCCCAGTAGCAACTATTCCGTTGGCAGTCACTGGAGTGTACCAGATGGTTCATTAGCATAGGCTAGACAAGTCAAAGCCTTTCAGAATCATTTAGAAAATGTCAAACAGAAACAAGAACCCTGTCACTTTTTATTAGAATTAACTACATCATACCCTGGACACAGATTTCACCTTGGGTCAGAAAAATTAATACAGAATTATATGAATTGTGTAATATATTGGTTTAAGATAGGTCTTTCTCTAGGGACTCATTTGCTGGCAATATATTATGATCCCTCTACTTTAAGAATCCTCAAACCTTTCCTTTTGTAAGATATGAAAAGAGTTGACCTTGCTCAAAATCCATTGGTGTCTAATTGATTTGAGGTATATGCAGAATTTCAACAAGACATTCTTCTAAAGCTCTTTTGTGATCATTTTCCCAGGAAGCTCAGTGCGTTGGGCTTACTGAATATTCAGCAGCACATAAAGTATGCTTTATGTCAAGAGGAAAATGTACCCGCTAATTGAACACACTCCTTTATAAACAGGAATTTCAGTGCCATTGAAGTGTTGTTGCTGTGTTTGTTTTTTAAATGCAGATGTCAAAAACCTCGAGAACTTCCAGCTGGTAGAAGGTGTCCAGGAACAAGTCAACACGGCCCTGCTAGACTATACACTTTGCAACTACCCACAGCAAGGAGACAAGTTTGGGCAGCTACTACTTCGACTACCGGAAATCCGGGCGATTAGCATGCAGGCTGAAGAATACCTCTACTACAAGCACCTGAATGGGGATGTCCCCTATAATAACCTTCTCATCGAAATGTTGCATGCAAAAAGAGCGTAAGTTACAACCCTAGGAGCGCTGCTTTCAGAACAAAAAGAGTTGAGGTGAGGAGGGGAAGAAGGACAGGAAGAGAAAATAAATACTCTGAACTGCTCCAAGCAACACTAAATAAAAACTTGGTTTAAAGATATTGAATTTTAAAAAGCATAATAATCAAATACTTAATAGCAAATAAATGATGTATCAGGGTATTTGTATTGCAAACTGTGAATCAAAGGCTTCACATCCCCAAAGGGTTCATACGAAAGACATTGTAATGGAGTGGATTGAACTCACAGACGGATTCCAACACTGTGTCAGAATAAAAACGGACAAAACAATTCTTGTATATTTAAGCTGATCTCCACTGTGAAGAAATTTAGAAACTAATCTGTGTTATTAATTAGGCTTGTTCAGTGTGGGGTTTGCGTTTACAGAATTCCTCCATGGTGAAGCTGAACTAAAACAGTTCTCAAGAATGCATCAGCCGCACCTGTGACTGCTCCTCCCTCTTCCTCCGAAGGCCCCCTGCACCTTCTGCCCTGTGACCATGGAATCTGTACTAAGGTCCTGTGGTCAGACACACCCAGTAGTAGCTCCACTATATCATGAATTCTGAATGTCTGTGTTGTAGACCTGCAAACAGCTATTAAGAAAAGAACAGTCTATAAATACGTCAGCTTGCCATTTTAAATGTTCCGGTTCATTTGTCACGTGCTCATGATTGGAAAAAAAAGGCAGTGTCCCTCTTCTATCATATATAAGCATTAATTAATATTAAGGGATATGACTACAAATTTTTTAAGCAAATACTCCATAACTAAAGCAAGTTAGATCTTATTTCTGCTACTGTTGCTGAAATGTGGCTTTGGCATTGTTGAATTTCATAAGAATTTCTGGCCAAAAGGCTTACTAGGATCTGTCTTTTTAATCGTCAAAGTTTGTATTCATTTAAAAGTAAGATATTAAACACCTTTTGCTGGGATGTCAAATAGTCACAGTTCTAAGTAGTTGAACATAAAAATTGAAGCATGTGAAGCTATGCAAAATGAAAAGGATGAGCTGATAAACCGACTGACCCAGGGTTCATTCTAGTTGCAAATGAGAACCTCCTAAACTTGGGATAGAAACAGTGATTTTTTACATGTAGCCTGGAAAGATATCAAAGTCATTCAAATCTTTCCCAAAAGGGAAAGGAAGAGAGTGATACTGACCTTTCTAAGTCATAGGCCAAAGTCTGCTGCAGAACAAATATTGGAGGACAAAGAATTGCAAAAAAAAAACCTCTCGGAACAACGCTGTCAGTATTATTAACACGAAATGCCACAGATATGAAAGTCTTGCCTTATTTCATGATTCTAAAAGGTAGCTGTGCAGATGTGGATCAACATTTGTTCGAAATAAAGTATTAATACTTTAAAGTCAAATAAAAAAATATAGTGTTTACATTCTTTAGGTCCTGGGAGGGGTGGGGGGAACTGTGATATTGCAAAATAGCAAAAGCAGTAACTTCTTTAATGTTATTTTTCTGATTGGTAATTATTTTTAACAGTACTTAGTTATTGTATGTCGTGAGACACTAAAATCAAAAACAGGAATCTCATTTAGACTTTAATTTTTTGAGATGATCGGCAGCACAATCACTTGTAGAAACTGTAAAAAATAAAAGTCTACCCCCCTTCATTTTTTTCATAAATGTTTCTGGCTTTTGAATAGTTTATTTATATTGTATATCATAGTTTCAACTGTAGACAATTATGATGCTAATTTATTGTACCTTGGTTTCACCTTTGCAGAAGAGATAGCCAAGACTGAAGAAACCAAATATATGTGTTTACTGTAGCATGTCTTCAAGTTAGTGGAACATAGTTCAGGGACATAGAAGGGTCTTAATGAATTAAAATCATCCACTTGATTAAATGTCTGTAAAGCTCCATAATTATAATTCTTACTGTAGCTTATTTAATATCGATTGTAAATTATGTGACTCGTAGCTTCCTCTGTTCAAGTACATTTAACAAGGTGGAGTCTTACCTGGTTTTCCTTTCAAGCATTGTAAGTTGTATACCAAAGATATGAGTTATTACTTCAGTGTGTACAAAGAAGATTATTTTATTATTTTTGTTAATCACCTCTGAAGCTCGTCCACATGAAGGGTACACCCTAGCCAAGCTGGGCATCGACTTGTGCAGGGTCTCGGTCACCTGTTTTGTCTTCATGGCTCAAAGGGCAATGAAAACTCACTGATCAGAGCTCAGATCCAAAGCATTACGAGAATGGCAGCCGCATTGCTTCCCTTAGTTGAGGACCAAGCTGGCTAACGGCAGGTGGAGAGGAACAGTGCAGTCAGTGGCTAATGAAAGGGCTCCGTGCCGTGTGTGTAGCATGGGGAGGCGACTTGGAGATTAGAATAGTTATTGGGAAGGTCTTTAACATCAAAGAAATGCCAAATCTGTGGATTCTTAAAATCTGTGTTTCCTTACTTTAAACATACAATACTCCTCACTGAATTTGAACTTGAAAAATGTACAATACTGGTATGTTGTTCAGCAGGTGGCTGACACCCCGAGAGTGGTTCATAACACAGTCACACCCACACTGCTGGTGAAAACAAGGACAGCGGCTGATAAGCAAGATAGTGCTACAGCTGTCCATGCCCCTTCCAAAACTGGCCAGTGAATTTCTCTGATGTGAATCATTAACCAGTTTGTAATCAGACATTGACTTAGCCAACTGCCTTATCAATCACAGGACTTATTAGTAAAAGCAGACTCAAACAAAGGTTTTTGGCTTAGCTTGGTTTGTGATAGTTGGTCTATGTTTGTTAACAGACAATCTGTAATGTCTGGATATTTATATTACATATCAAGCAATGTTTAGAGTGTGAAGTCAGTTACACATTGACATTTTCTTACTGTATCAGTGAAAAACATATTGTCATGTCAGTTCTTTCCAGGAATTTCTCAACAAAATGGAGGGTTTTTTTCAGTATTTCAATAAATATTGATATGCCCAGCCTGATAATTTTTAAAAGTCTTTTGTCCTTATTTTGTTGGGTACTAAAAGTTCTAAGTAATTAAGTACTTAACTAGGAATGAAATCAAAAGAATGTGGTAAAGAGCAGATACTTTCTCCTCTGTGAACATTCTCTAGAGCGGTCTGTTGTCCTTCCCTGGATGCCCGAAGTGTTATACACAATCTGAGCCTTGTAGTTCCGTGCATGAGAGAAGGAGTTTGTCATTTTCCATTGTAACTGATTGCCAGAAAAGTCTTAATAGCTTCTCATTTTTTTTATCAACCAAATGGTGTCCTAATATCTAAATGCCATCCATGTTAATTCACTTGATCCTCAGAATTTCATGAGGTATTATCTACATCTTAAAGCTCTTTGCACAAACTGGTATGTGAGCTAGGAAGAAGTGGGGATTGGTTTTTTGGTGGTTTTATGTTGCTGGGGCTCAAACCCAGGCCAGGGCCTCATGCGTGGAGGGAAGGACTCTGCCACTGAACTATGCCCACAGCCCAGGGGCAGGGATTCGTGCCCAGGAAGTTCGACTCCAGGATCAGTGCTTTTATTTTTTTTCATTAAGTTCGTTGGTACACTTTAGGTATACAATACAGTTACATTCATCATTGGGATTTTGTACCATTACATGAGTCTCTTGGTTCTTATTTTTTCCCCATTCTTTTGTCCTCCCTCCACCCCCTCCACCCTTCCCTATTTACAAAGACTGTTTCCATTTTTTTCCTCTTCTCATATTTTTTCTTTTCCCTTCTTTCCTTTCCCCTTCCCCTCCCACTTCCCCTACTCCTTTAGAACTTTTCTTCCTATTTTGCATTATCAACTATACATTTTGATCCTTATTTACACTTTTAGTTTTTCACCTCAGAGAAACTTTGGTATTTACACATGTGTGTCCTATTTATTTCACTTAAGAGTATGACCTCAATATGCATCCACTTAGCCATAAATGTCTCTAGTTTCTCTTTTTTATGGCTGAGTAGTACTCCATTTTATTTTTAAAAATCTTCTTTATCCAATCTCCAGTTGATGGGCATTTGGGCTGTTTCCAGGTTTTAGCTATTACAAACTGTGCTCCTATAAACATGGGTATGCATATATCGCTGTGGTATGATTCTCTTAATTCTTTGGGGAAGATACCCAGCAGGGGAATAGCTGGGATCCATTAGAAGTCCCAGGATCAGTGCTTTTAAACACTGTCCCATCCTTGCTCCAAACCAATATGACACTTCCAACTCACTCCAAAAGGAAAAGATACTACAGAAAATCAGGCAACAGTTCACCATACAGTATACAAATGTTTATCAAAAACATGGAAATATCAAAGCGTTTATACTCAGCAGTTTAACCCTAAAAAATAGGATGACCGTGTTCTAGAATGTATCCTTTTTCAGTACCATGAAATCTTTGGAGAAGTTTAAACCAATAAAATCGCTGTAGAATCTATTTTGGAAATAAATAAAACTTGCATTAAAAAATATCACAAGAAGAAAAATATATCGCAAGAGCCACAAAACACTCAAGGCTTGTGAAACAGAGAGGTCCAGCCCTGTAGGGTTTTTAGGATTCACTCTCCTATCCTTACCCTGGGTTGAGACAAGCAAGGGGAATTAGCACTTCGCCAAGCAGACTCTCATTTTTCTTTGGATCCTACAGAAAGAATCAGACCGAGAACCTTGAGCTGAAGGGCTAGTAGATCATGGAACTATTTTTAAGCAACTAAATAGTGGCCTATGAAACCCATCTTTGTTGTCAACTTTTAAAATTGTTCTGCTGATATGACATGAAATATGGAAACAGTTCACATTCAGTTGGACTGTAACATGCAGAGACGTGTAAAGTTTGATACATTTCTAAATATATATACACACAGGTAATCATCACGCAGGTCAAACAAGGTGAAAAACATGGGCCTCTTTTTTAAACTTTTTGTTAAAGTGGATATCTATGTTTTTAGAAGAATTACTCATGGAGAGTTTTTTCAAAGCCCAACTCAGCAGCAGTATGGGTCAGAGCACTGAGAGCAGAGGCCAGGGCCTTCTGTCACTCAGGATCATAGGCAGAAAGTCGCTAAATCCAACAGCAGAGAAAACATGGCGCACGCTGATACAAATTTGATTGTTATATTTGATATTCAAAATAACTTCAAGGAGGCTTGTACCTTTAACTAAGTTTGACGTTCGGTCTGAAGCCATCTCTGATGTATATTTTTATGAGAAACATGTGGAGACTTTCTTCAACATAACACAGGTCAAAATGCTTCAACACTTAGTGATCTTGACATTTCCCTGGAATAATAAAGACCAATTTTCCTTAACACTGAACAGGAAGTGTATAGTTTAGTCACTCAAAATAAATACTCTTGCAGTACTTTAACCATCTCACAAAGGCATTTGTTTTATGTTAAGTTAGGAATTAATAACTCAGTGACTGGTGTCAGGCTGTGATTGTGGTTTTGTTTGTAGAAAAGCTTTGCATGTTTGTTGCTAGGATAAGGGCAGATGGGGCTGTCATTAGACGAATTGCTGAGTATCCCTGAAGTGAGTTTGAAACTAAACTGGAGAAACGACCGAGCTAGACAGGGCCAGGCCGGCCACACTCCACTCTGGAGCTGATGCCAGCACAGATCAGACCTAAGGCTGCCCCGGGAGGTTTGGGACACCTCCAGGCAGCTCCCTGGGACACCAGGTCAGGTCTGAGACTCTTCTTAGGCCATTGAGCAGAAAGAGCCAAGAAGAGACATGGGGATGTGTGGCCACGGGATTAGGGTCTTAACTTTTCAGCTTGACAGTTACACTCACAGATCCAATGGAAGCTCCCATCCTTGGTGGCCTTGGGCACCTGCAACCCAAAATGCCAAAGCTCCCCGCACTCAGCAGCCAACACTGTCCTTTGACACTGGAGCGGGCTCCCTTCCTGACAGCCTCAGTGGCAGTCCTCTGATGCCCACTACCATGGGGGAAAGTCCCTGACAGGGTGTTGAGGTCTCTCCTCACGCAGCTTCTGCTCGCCTTCCTGACCTCTCAGCCAGGCCTTCCCACACCCACTGTGCACTGACCACACTGACAGCTTGGGCTTCCATGCGTGCTGGTCCCCAGCAGCTGGCAAACGGCAACCACGCTCAGGGTCCCCCTGGCTGTCCCCTTTGCCCAGTACAGCATCCTGGGACTCATCCTGCTCACTTCCCAGGTGCCCTCTAAACTGATCCTAAGGGCAAGGCAGCACCTCAGGCGCTTCCAAGATCTGCCCTGCACCCTGCAGCCACCAGAATGAAAGGTCTCCACCACTTAACAAATACCTGAGATAATAACTTATAAAGAGAAAGGGTGACTTTGGCCCACAGTTTCATCTACAATCAGTTGACCCCATTGTTTTCACCGTTGGCGATGAAGCACACCATGGCAGGAGCTCTTGGCAAAGCCAAACCACCCGCGCCATGGCCAGCAGGCAGCAGAGAAAGAGGAGCAGGCTGGAGTCCCTCAGTCTCCTTCAAAGACACAACACCGATGACTTAGGGACCTCGCAGAAGGCCCCATCTCCTCCCAAAGGCCCAGGCTGGGGACCAAGGCTTTAACACACGGGCTTTGGGGGACGCTCAAGATCTAAACCATAGCACTCTGCATTTGTCGCTTGACTTTGACCACAGATGTCACAGTGGAGCCCAGACTGGAATAACCTAGTGTCCACCCAGGATGTTCATCCACTCCACGCCCAATATCAGATTATTATTTCATTCTCCTGTAGGGATTTTTCACATGTGTGATTGCATAGCAGCTCCCACCACAAGCATGCTGTTAACCCAAAGTGCTAGGCAGTGAAAATAGCACTACTCTATTAATGTAAGGTGGCTTATATTGCTGAGTATTGCTGCCCACCTCGTCAAGAAAGAGCTACCCGCAAAAGAGATTAAAACTGTCTCCAGAGAATAGAAATTTGTAAAATGGGTAGCTACTCCAGTAGAACAGATTTTAACACAATGTGAATGAATGAGTGCCTAACAATCAAAGCCACCCCTGAAGGATCCAACTCTGTTAGAGGTTGGTGAACTCCCTTCAACTTCTCCACCCAAGGCTGGACTGGACAACAGTGCTGGGGTTGTGACACCTGTATAGGAGAGCAAGGTAACCGTTAACAACCTCCAAGGAAAGAGTCTATGATTTCAACATGGCCAGCCAACACAGACTGGCTCAAAACTTCAGGAAGGACTTTGCCTCCCAAATCCTCCCTCCAGGTAAAATCTGCTCATGCCTTTGAAGTCTGCTAGAATGAGGAGAGACTGGAAGGCATGCTCCAACTCCAGAGATCTAAATGTATAAAAACTGGATATATGAAAGGAAAGCTCATTTTAGTACTTATTTATAACACAGGAGAGGAACCATAGCCTGCCAAACATCTTAGACCAATTCTTCCTTACTGAAGGAGAAATATTCACACATTCAAAACTGCTTCTGAATGGCAGGGGTATAGCTCAGGTGCAGAGTCTGGCTAGCATGCATGAGGCCCTGGGTTTCATCCCCAGCTGCACAAAGCAAACAACTGCTTCTCCAAGACAGGTGTGGTGGTACATCCCTGGGAGGCTGAGGCAAGAAGATCAAAAGCTTGAACCCAGCTTGGGCAATGGAGCAGCTGAGCAAGATTTTGTCTCAAAAAAAGAGAGAGAGAGCCCTGAGGATGAAGGTTAGCATGGAGGCCCTGGGTTCAATCCCCAGTACTGAAGATGAAGCAGAAGAAGAGGAGACCTTGCTTCTCCGTGAATCTGCTGTATTTGGAGACAGACAGCTTACCCTGCTGTGGAAAGATCAAAATGCCCCTTGGCCATTGAGGTTACACAGCAAAGCTGGAGATACGTGGTCTGCCAGCCCCTCTTCACAGCTCCCTCTACACCCAACAGCAGGGAGAAGAGTGAAGTGCTCTGGAGATACCTAACATCCATATTTCACTTGAAAAATATTGACCATAATGCCCCAGGCAATGTTCCAGTCAAGGAAATAATTCAAAGAACACACACTAAAGATAATTCATGAAAATAACAGTATCTGTTTATATGCAACGTGCTACCTATGATGATAAGTTGTTAGAAGTTTTTCCAAAAGCCATCGTCCTTTTTTTCCCTTGGACACATGGACAACATTTCTGTCTTCTTTGCAACCAGATGTGGCCACGGGAGTAAGATGGGGGTTGTGGCAATAGAACAGGAGCAGAAAGGACAGTCAGTCTCCTCAGGCTGCAGCGACAGCCACTCCCCCCATCTGTCCTTTTCACCCATATCCTGACTGGACTTGCAGTGTGGACAGTGGCCCAGGAGATGGGACAGTGATGAGCAGCAGATGAAGAGTCCAGGTCCTTGAGTGACCATGTGCAGCAGTGTCATGGACCAGCTCAGATGCAATAAATGAAGTGCTGCTATCCAAGCTCTGTATCTTAGGGTCGCTCTATTTCTAAACTTAGCCATTGCTCTAATATACAGACATGATTTCATGTAATCCTTACAACAATCCCTTCTTAGTAACTAAAGAAACCAAAGTTCACAGAGGTTTAAAACTTGCCCCAAATCCTGCCGCTTGTAGGTGGTAGAACACGAGTCACACAGCCCAGGTTCCTACCACTTTGCCATGGAGTTTTCCCCAAAGCACGATGCATGGCACATTGCAGGGCCAATCTGCCATCACGAGGGGATCTCCTCTAGGGTGGAAAAGGAGCAACAGTAACAGATGTGTTTCTAAAAACTACAGCACATCACTTCTGGATCTTTTGGCTAAGATCAAGTGTAAAAACTACAGCATAAAAGAAAACAAACAAACAAGAAATCCTGGAAATTCTTTGCCTCAATAAGACCCTAGACAAGCTTAGTTACAACCACTAACATCAAAAATAGGCATCAACTGTCCGATGCCTTGGGAATGTCCGTAGCACGGACACTGTTTGAGTCCTACATACCTGGTGTTCGAATCCCTTCTTTATGTACCATCTTGGCCGGAAATACCCACTCCACTATCTTTTCCCCCAAAATAAGTCCTGATCATGTCCTAACTATAAGAGCTCTGATAATTTTCTCAGGCCTCATTTTGATGAATAGTTTTCCTGTTTATTTTATCACAAAATTGTCTGACAGATATCTACATGCATTAATTACCTGGGAATATGCAAATCCACTGGCAATATTTACAGAGAGAACACACTTTCCATCATTTCTGCCCACATCCCACTGCCCCCAGCATAGTTAGTAAAGCACTCTCTATTTTAAAAATTTGTTCCAAAGATTTTTCCCAGAGATAAATAAGGACCATCAGAAGTTCTCTGCTACAGCGGTGGAATGAGCTTCTATAAATAAGCGTGGAAACACGTGTTACATTCCCCCAGTGTTGCTCTAGCAGGTTTTATTTCCCTTCTGTTCCTGTCATGTGGCCTTGTGTTATTTGAGTGTCAGATGTCCCTGTGACCATTGTGTGGCCTGGATCCCCGCCAAGCTCCCCGGGCAATGCCCAATCAGTACCCACTTATCCTCTCTACCTCAAAGAAATCTTAAAGTGGCACAACCACTGGGGAGGGGCACATCACGACACAGGCAACACACAAAACAGGGAAGATTGTCCCCCCACCCCACACAGCCATTGTCATTTACGAAAATAGAGAGCAGGATGATTAATAATGATTGAGCAGTGCTGAGCCCTGATTTTATTAAATCATCTCCTTGAATTCTCACAACAACCCTCCAAGGTGGCCATAATTACAGTCACATCATAGATGAGAAAACTGTTTGTTTCTTAAAGTTGCTGCTCAGTGGCAAGGCCAGGACAAACCCACCTCTGCCTGACCCCACGGTCGGGCTTTAACCACTGAGCCACATATTTTAGTAAGGATTAATGTAGGGTCTGAAAAACTATCAAAGTGATGGATTGTTAAACTCCATGGGAGTGTTCATTTTGTTGCCTGACTCGAGAAAGAATCTTCCTTTTCTCAACTTTAATTGAAACATTTGAAAATAAATCATAGGTTTACTTCATGCCTTTAAAAAGAATCATCTTGGCAGAACTAAGCTCTGGTTTCTGCTTTGCATGCTGACTTCCCCTTGCTTTTGTGTTACTCTGTTTTAATATAAAGGGAACTCAGTGAGGCCTTGGCTTGTCCTCAGCACTAGAACACAGAGCCTGCTACAGCCATCTCTGTGCTTCAAGAGCTACTGGCCGAAGAGAATTCGTGAGGTGTAGGATTTCCATCTGTGGAGGAATAAAAAGGCTGAATAATAGGTAACTACTGAGAGGTGAGGAGCAGGAGCCAGAAGCCAAGGGAGAGGCGTAGGGAGGGAAGCAGGGATGCTAGAATGGAAAGAATGAGCCCAGGGCATGGAGAAACTTAAATGAGGAAGGTGCTGGGGCTGTCACCTTGAGAAACAAAAACTCTCGAGCTGGCTCAACCAGGTGAAAGTAAGGGACCTAGTTCTTCTCTGTGTGTGGTGGCCCACAGCTGCTGGGATCGGAGCCCAGCCCGGGCAACTCCGTGACTCAGGGAGACCCTGTCTCCACAGCGGGCCAGGGATGTGGCTCAGTGCAGAGGCCCCGGGCTCAACCCCCAGTAGCGCAAAAGCAATTGTGTTTGTTCATTTATTTGTTTGCTTATTTCTAATTCTAAACTTGTCACTGCTTTGCCTCATTCTGGTAAAACTGTGAGGCCAAATAAGGAATCAGTTTGTTTGGAGCTGGTTGGTATTAGATGATTACGCTCGTGCCCCACTTAACCACATGCCAGTCAAAGCACAGACCATGTCCCATGGTGGTCCCATGAGATTGTGTCGCCTGGTGACAAGCATAACAGCTGCCTTAGTCTGTGTGAGTGCATTCTATGGTCTTCGCACAGTGACAACATTGAGGTCATCAGATGTCACCCTCTTCAACCCATTCCCGGTCATTATCAGCAGATGCGGCCTCTGCATGAGCACTGCGGAAGCATCAGCAGAACCATCAGCGGCACCTGCGGCCTCCACTGTCCTCTAGGGCAGTAACAACTTCGAAGCTATTGTGAGAATCGAGGAAAGGGGTTTTCCACCTGCACTGACTCACAGTCCTCCAGGATGCCAACTTCCTGTTTTCCAAGCACTGTGGAAAACTTTCCCAACTACAATCTGACTACAACAGCTTCGTCACCCAGGCAAGGATCCACGAGGGGCTCCAAAACACGAGCCAGGTGCTGCTGCTGCAGCCTGCAGTGGAGACTTCAGAAAAGCTGAGGCCGCGAGGGCTTTGTATGTTTCTATGTTTGACAACAGGGAGGTGGGACTACGGAATCCCAAGGCCTGCTCATTCTGTAATCAGTTAGTGGACGATTTTATTATTCCTGATCTCTTTGCCCCTGAGTGCTCCAAATAAAATAGCCTTGTGCTACCTTCTGTTGTTTCACCAGGTGTTTGCCAGGTGGTCGGGAATGGAAAACAGCTCCTGTCCTCCCATCAGCGCTGACCCAGGGTGGGAGCATGGGCCCCGTGACCCAGGGCGAGCTAGGAGAGCTTTCCACAGCCTCCGCAGGCAGCACTGCACGGCATGACCGTGGCCTGGGGAGCGGGGAGGGGCATCTGCCACCGGCACATCTGGGCACCCCCGGAGACACTGCAGGCTCCCAGGGATGGAGGATGAGGGGAGGAAGAGGCAGTGGGGGGCCGCACCTCCCCACCTCATGCCCGGAGCCCCAGCTGTGCCACCCACTACCTTCTACTCTGCTGACGGTGTCGCCTACGCCAGCCCGTGTTGCTCCCTCCCGGCTTGCTGATTCTGCTTTGCCTGGTCCATTCCAGAGATGTGCTCTTCTTGGGCAGAGGAAGGTAAACAGGGTGTTTAATAGTCTGTGGTTGGTGCTCTGGGTCCTGACCCACAGGCCAAAGGCAGAAATCCTTCCCTTTCTCCCCACTTTCCTTTTGAATGCATTGCTGTGCTTTCAGAAAGAGACAAAATTTACAAAATATGTCACAGATGTGCGAGCAAAACAAAACACCATCCCAGTGATGTGATGTGCTGTGTCATCCGCCTACGGAATTAAGAGGGAAATGAAAGTCTACTGAACATCCCCTTTGCCCCTCATCGTAAAAGCGAGGGGAGGCTCTCTACCAAGGATCCAAGTTCTGATCACACTGCACCTATTTTTAACTCAAATACCTATACTCATCATAGGTGCTCAAAACATTTTCCTTGGGTGAATCAAATATTTAATTCCTTTTCTCCTTGTTTTTTTTGTTTGTTTGTTTTTTGTTTTGTTGTTTGAGTCAAGGTTTCACTACATAATTCAGGCCAAACTTGTTATGTAGCCTAGGCTAGCTTTGAATGTAGAGTCATCCTGCCTCAGCCTCCTGAGTGCTAGGATTGCAGGCAGGCACCGTTCTCCTGTATTGACAATATTTGAAAATGCAAATAATTTGAAAAGCAGTATTAATGACCTATCTTTTGAATTCTGAAAAGAATATACATCCTCATTTCTGTGAAAATCTTTTCATTTTTCTGCTTTAAAAGAAAATCTAATAGTTTAAAATCATGCTTTTTTCACTGCTAATTTCTGGGTCAATAAATGATTGGTTTTTAGGATAAAGAAAATAGAACCTTTTAAAGATTCTACATTGGAAAAATTCTTAAACTCATTATGACCCTAAACTTAAAACCCTATTCACTTTTCCATGATCAAATCATCCTGTCCACATTGTTTGAAAGTTTTAGCGAGTGATAACATTTACACTTAAGAGCCAGGGACTGTGAACTTCACTGACCCCTGCAGTTATGACATCACAGATGACACAGTTCTTATTTGGTGAGCTTTGTGCTGAGTCACTCTTCAATCTGAAAATCCAAGGGAGTTACACCTCATTTCCTCAAAGGACCTACAAACTGTGCTTCTGATATCATTGAAAGTCATAACCTGACTTGAGAGAAGTTAAATGATAAAGAAATGTGTGGGGAAGGATGAGAAGTTCGTTCCATGGCTAAGGTTGTTTATTCATAGCCATGTTTCAGAGTCCAGGATCCTGGGGCCACGACAGGCTTAGAGCACCGAACATTCCCCTGTGACTAACAGCATCCAACAGAAAATCGCCACTGGATCTGCCATGGGATCTAGGTGTTCGTTTCACATTCCTAGATATTCCTCAGAACCCACTAACTGTGTTAGACACCTGCCCTCAAGCACTCAGTCTAGAAAGATGTGACTCCAGCTGAGGCCAGGAGTCAGCAAATCATGGCCCACTGGCCAATTCCACCTACCTGATGTTACAAACTTTCTTTGAAGTTTACAAAATTTCACCCACATGTGAAGGAAGCGCCCTCTCTGCCCGCCTTCATATCACAGTGAGAGTGATTAGAGCAGGCTGCACATCGTTTGTAAAGCCTGGAATATGTTTTCTCTAGTTTGCTGATCTTTGAGTTTGGCTAAAAGTTTGGGATAATAGCTGGGCTACCTAAATATAAACCAATTTAAAAGAAATATCCCATCATTGGGCCGGGGATTTAGCCCAGTGGTTCCGTCTCCTGCCTTGCAAGCACAAGGACCCGAGTTCGATCCCCAGTACCAAAAAAGAAAAACAACAACAACAACAAAAAAACACCTTAAGGCTCCAAGTAGAACAAACTTGCTAAAAAGGAAAACTGTGAGGGAAATAAAAAACATAGAGGGGAAGAAACAGAATTATTTAAGACCTTCACTTTCTCTCTCTGCCTCTCACGTGTAATCTTCCGACAAGGGAGAGAAAGACCTGCCGATGAGACAACACCGCCGTTTGTCAGCAATTCTGTCGCCCCCTTCCATAAAGAAGGAGCTGGACACTTGCAGATGACATCAGATGTCAGGACAGGGCACCGGAGCCCTTCTGTCTCCTGTCCTGCACCAGCCATGCTACCTTGGGGTAGGCTGTTCACACCTTCTTTCAGCCAGCATTTGTGAAGCAATCACTATGTGTTGCGAAGTTCAGAGCCCTGGGGATAAAGCAGTGACCGAGACACATCTTTTACTTTATAGAGATTGGATTTTAATGGGAAGAGACAAAAATAGGTCAAATAGTAGATGCCCCCAGCAATCTTAGGGGTTGGAGCCAGGTACCGGGATGAAGGGGAAAGGAGAATGAAAACGAGTGGGGAGGGAGGGAGTGGAAGCGGGCAGGGGAGAGAGCCCTGCAGGAAGAGGGCCCAGCCACCTGAGTGTCCTGGGAGGGCTCTAGCAGGGAGTGAGTGCCCAAAGGCCCTGCGCAGGAGCACTTTGGGCCAGGCAGAAACAGCCGTGGGCACAATGACCGGAAATGAGGGGAGAGAGGAGACGGGAGGATGAGGATCCAGACCACAGGCAGCCTTGTGGGCCCCAGCAAGGACTTCACTGTCCTTCCGAGTAAGCTGGGGAGCCGCTGGCGGCGGGGCCAAGCAGAAAGGGCATGATTGGCAGCTGGGTAGAGAAGCAACCACTGGGCAGCAGAGTGGAGAGAGGGAAGCATAGAAGGTGCCAGACTGGGACTGACTCCTATGGGAGGTGAAGGCAGCCTGGGCTAGGGGTGGCAGGAAAAGTGGCAGGAAGCGACGTCTCTGGTACCGTCCCATGCATCCCAGGGATTCGCTCAGGGATCCCATGGTGGCTTTTAACCAAAAGAAGCAGGTGAAGGAAGTAACCTATTCCTTCTTATAGGCAATTGACATTTCCCCCCATTCTACATAAATGTGGATAAATGAATCTTCAAAAAATGTGTGCGTTGACTTGATAAAATAATCTAGGCAAAAGAGTGCCCCGTCATAGAGACAGGGCCTAAACGAAGACCAGCTGTCCAGCTGCCTCTTCCGCCCCTTCTGTGAGGGAATTCTGGAGGGGGCCACATCCTCGAGCTTTCAGTCAGCAGGCCCCTGTATGGGCAGGAAGTTCCGAGATCTGCGGAAGTATCCAGTGTAAATGACCATTTATATTTTCATTAAAAATTCTTTTTAAAATTAGCATACTAGGGCCCGGGGATTTAGCTCAGTGGTTCTGCTGCCTGCTTCAAAAGTGTAAGCGAAAGGCCCCGAGTTCAATCCCCAGTACCAAAAACCAAACAAACAAAATAAAATGAGCATACTAGAGTTTTAATGGAATTTTTTAAATTGGCTTAGCATGCAGAATCATTATGAGACACAAAACTGTCATTTTCAGCTACCTGTGGCAGTGCTTCTCATGCCCCAGCGCGGCCCAGATCACCTAGAGGTCTCCAGCAGATACAGACACTGACAGGCCACCAAGGGTGGGCCTGCAGGCTGCGTTTCTCACAAGCACCCAGGGGGGCTGAAGTGGTCCCCAGCTCTGCTTTAACTGACAGACCTGTCAGCCAAGGCGGAGGAGAAAGGGCCTGGGAGAGGCCTGCTCTTTTTAGAACAAGCTTAGTTAATAGTTAAGAACCACTGATTTAGAGCTTGTGTTAGATGCTGGACTTTCAGGACGGAAGCCCGTCTCTGGGACAGCACTCCCCAGTCTGGTGACCGCGCCCATAAACAATGGTGGTAACCGTGGAGCCCCAAGGGATAGGTTGGGGAACCTGGAGGAAGGGAGGGGCGGGATGTACCGGGGACCTAGTGAGCCCGCCGTGGAACCTGACAGGTTTGTGGCATCTTGAGAGGTACAGGGAAGAGGACACCAAGGGAAACCTGCACCCTGTGAGACCCACCAGGAGGGATACAGCTCCAAGAGCTCGTAAACCCCCCTGAGACTGTGAATTGTCCATCAAGACCAGCGAGCAGGTGCAGTAGGGGGAGCATGGGGGACAAGATGAAGGTAGAGCCTCAGGGGGACAATGGCGGGAGGGGTGGAAGGCAGTGAAGGGGCCTGGGAGGGTTTGGAGGACAGGGTCAGGTTTCTATGAGCTGTTGGGCTGGAGAAGGCGTCGCCAACACAGGCACCGCCACTCTGATGCCAGCACGGTGTGCAGTAAGCGGGGTGTGGTATTGGCGATTCACAAGCCATCATCTAGTGAGGGTTGTTTGCTTTGCCACATTTAGTTTGCTTTGTGAAATTCAAAATAACGCTTGCCCTACAAATCACAAATTCCAAATGGATCACAGAAATCAAAAGCAATGTACAATGGCAACTTTTGCCTGCTCTGCGGACTGCAGGCAGAGACTGGGCGTGTGGTCAGTGCCATCCAGCGGGTGGGACCAGGACCCCAGCACGGGGAGCTGTGATCACAGAGCACGACCAACACCAGCAAAACCCGCGAGCAGTCCAGAAAATGGATCCATGTCCACACGTGTGACGATTTGAATGCCTGTGACTTTTCAGTATGATGCATTTATGTAAGGGTTAATAATTCCGATTTCTGAGACTGGATTCTGCTTATCAAATTAGAGGTGATAGAGACAAATTCTGCCCTATAATCGGAGGAAAGAATTAAATAACCTGCCAGGCGAAGGGTCAGTATCCTCAGGCCATGCAATCTGCAGCAGACAGGAGCAGTCTCTGGACAGGGAGGCCCAGAGAAACCCCTGTGTGACCTGCTGTCAAAGAGCTGGCCACCTTGGGCTTTCAACCAACTGGTGTCCAATGGTGTGTGCACAGAAAGGCCAAATCAACATTAGTCTGCTTCAGAAATCAGACATGCACATCAATGGTAAGCCGTACAAGAGCGAGGCACTATCTCAACTGAATTGTTTTCTCTCCTGTTGAAGCCACCTTAGAATTCCAAACCTGATTTAGAAACTATGTAAATAAGAACAGTAATAAAAGTAGTAACAACAGTTGTAACAATAGCAACAGTTTCCACTTGCCTGGTATTTTAACCTCCTCTAATGAATTGATTGGATCAGGTCTTCATAGTAATCTGCAGTAATCCAGGCAGGAGTGGTTCCCCACCCACTTCATGGGGAAGAAACAGAGGTACAAAGATAAGGAACCTGCACTTTTCACACAGGGGTGGTAGATGTTTTTATTGCCTATTCATGGCTCCATGTGACACTTCGTTCTTGAGAAATTACAGGGTAAATATTCACTCCTTATAAGTCAGTTTGTACTTTTAAAGTATAAACAGATTCATGCCACTGGCAGTTTGGAATGGTGCTTTCCCACAGGTGGCAGTTCCTGCTTAGATTAATTGGCTTCCACACTCCTAAAAGCCATTTCCTTTCTGGACCATAGCATACTTGGCAATAGATAGTAAACAGTTTAGAGAACCATATAAAAACATAGCCATCTGTGCTCAAAAATAAGCCTTGTGGGATTAAGAAGAGCCTTGCATAACGGGAAGGTTAGGGGCAGCGGGTGCTGGTGGGTGGCAGGGTGGCCAGGGTTCCACGCTCCCACCACTCCACGAGAGTCCTCGGAAGACGCCCGATCTCAGAGGGGCCCGGTGAGGCACAGATTCGCAGACACAGGTGTACCTATGTACCTGCAGGTATGAAGCCCGAGGCTCTCCGTGGCCCCTTCCATTTCTTCAATTTTCTTGCAGTTCATGCACCCTTCCCCTGCGTGGTCTGGAACTGCCCGTCCTTGCCCACCACTCCCTGAGCCCCTAACTTAGCAGGATGTCCCTCCTCCCTTTGGCCTTCACTGCAAACCCAGGTCCCAGGACTCCATGCCCTCACTGTCCTGAGGCCCTCGTGTTGGTCGGTTTCATGTGTCAGTGCAGCCAGGTAGCCCATTACTGGAGCACTGACCTGAGGGGTGTGCAGGGTTTAATAGCCGTGGCTGGCTGATGTGATGACGTGGGCCTCTTCCAGTCGGCAGAAAGACAAACAC